GAGCCCAGTGCGGGACTCTATCCCAGGACCCTGGGATCATGACCTGAGCGGAAGGCAGACGCTTAACTGACTGAACCACCCAGGCTCCGCTTTGTATACCTTTTTGAATACTTGTTGAATGTGGTTAAAAGGTTTCTTGGTGTTTTTCTATGCTATGTAAATGTTTTAGTGAAAGTAGATGATTTTCATTTCTTGAATGCAGCTAATTGTTAACTAAGCAGCCACTACAGATGTTTTGTACAACAAAACAGCGTATATGAGATGGTCTAAAGATCCAAATGTGGTTTCTGAAAAATGCATTGTTAGTGTAGTGTACGCAATCAAATCAGATAACTACCAAGTGAATCCACTAGAGGGTTAGATTACTCATCCAAAAAATTTAACTGGGAGTTTCACTCTTAACATTTGGGGAATACCTGGATATTTTATGTGGGCTGTTTGATTTTTCTGCTATTTACATTTTATAGTACTCAAAACTGTATCAAATGTGAGAACCTAATGTAATTTAGCAGAGAATACTAAATTTTGATGATAACCTAAATTTCCAAAAGATAAATGCAATTGACATTCTGAACTTACATCCATGAAGGTAGTATTTCAAGTGTCTCATACTGATCCTAGGATTAATTACAGCATCAACATTCAAAATTAGTAAACTATTCATTTATTAAAATGAAGTTAGCATTTTATCCTGTTCTGTATTTCTTCTATAAACCTTGGTAAAAGCAATTTATCATTCTGTAAACAGTGGGGGTGCCTGGGCTGGCTCAGTTGGTAGAGCATGCAACTCGATCTTGGGGTTGTTAAGATCCAGCCCCACTGGGTGTAGAGATTACTTAAAATCTTTAAAAAAAAAAAATTCCATTAATAGTGTATTTACCACTCTATTTTGGGTGGATCTCATGAGGGCCATCTGTATCTTGTACGACAACTAGAAATTGACTTAAAAATGAGTTTGTTATGGATTTGTAGGATTTTCACTGCCTTTTGTGACACTGTCAAAGGAATTTTTTTTTTTTTTAAGATATTTATTTGACAGAGACACAGCAAGAGAGGGAACACAAGCAGGGGGAGTGGGAGAGGGAGAAGCAGGCTTCCTTCCGAGCAGGGAGCCTGATGCAGGGCCCAGTCCCAGGACCCCGGGATCACGACCCAAGCCAAAGGCAGACGCCCAATGACTGAGCCACCCAGGCGCCCCAAAGGAATATTCTTACACAGTATGCTTTATGTGAAAATTTTCTACATCTCTGTATTTGCTGATTTTAATATTTTGGATTTTCCTTAGTGTTAGTGCGTAGAAGGAAATGTTATTTTTTAAAAATGCTTTATACATGTTTTTTAAAGTAAGAGGTTAAATCAAGTAGGAACTATATAGGATTGTGTCCTCATATTTTTCCTCTTTCTCCCTCAGATAGACTGAGGGGAGTCAAAGGAACAACAAAACTCCTGAGATGAGGAAATGGTGGGTATGGTCACTATCACAAATGATATACCCATTTCATCCAATTTGGGTAATTTAATAGAATCCTTTTGATTTTTGTGGGACATCCCTACTTAACTGCTCCCAAAAATGTCATCGTGTTGTGTTTTTTTTTTTTTAAGATTTTATTTATTAGAGAGTGTGTATGTATGTGCAAAGGGGGGAGGGAGGAAGCAGAGGGGGAAGGAGAAGGAGGGGGAGAGAATCCCAAGCCTCTTCCCTAAGCCCAGCCTGGGGCTCAATCTCTCCAGCCTGAACCAAAACCAAGAGTCAGATGCTTAGCCAACTGAGCCACCCAGGCGCCCCTGTCATTGTGTTTTTAAAATCAGGTGTGTATAGAGAAAAATTATGCTTTTCTTGATTTTGGTAATATTTAAACCACTTTAAAAATATTTGGTGTTTCTGGGTTTTTAAATGGATTTAAAAAGAATTTTATTAGAGAACGAGCAGGGGTGAGGGGCAGAGGGAGAGGGACAAGCAGACTCTCCACTGAGCAGGGGAGGACTCGATCCCAGGACCCTGCTGAAGGCAGACGGTTAACTGACTGAGCCACCCAGGTGCCCTAAATATTTGGTGCTTCTGGGTTCTTAAATGTCATTTTATAAACAAATGCAGATCTTGGGTTCTAATTCTTGAGATAATCCTTAGGATTGTATTAATTTTTGAAGTCTGCTGTAGTAGATTTAGTGACTTAATATAAATTTCTTCTTAATAGTTCTTGAGGTCTAAAGCTTGAAATCAGTTTTACTAGGCTAAAATTAGTTTCCTGGTTCTTTTTAGAAGCCCGGGGAAAATCCATTCCTTCCCTCTTTTAGCTGCTGGGAGTTGCCGGCAAGCATTCTTTGCCTTGTGGCCACATCATTCTCATCTCTCCTTCCATCATCACATTGCCTGATCTTGTATAGTGATCTCTGCTTCCTTCTCAGGGGATTTGTGATTATGTCACTGGGCCAACCTGGATAATCCAGGATAATGTCCCCATCTCAAGATCCTTAATCATGTCTGCAAAATCACTTTTGTATATAAAGTAATAGTCACAGGTTCTGGGATTATGAAGTGGACGTTTTAGGGGGCTTTTATTCAGCTTACCACAGCAATCCTCTCAAATTCATTGTTAATTTCAATTCTCCATGCTACACACTTAATTTTTAATCTGATAGTGGTACTTTTTGTTTCTTGTATGTTACCTACTTCTTTATGCCTTCCAATCACATGCTTCATTTAAGTCTCTGATTGACAAAGCTGAACTTGAGATCATTTCCTCCAGGTTACCATTTACTACAACTTCTTTATACTGATGCGTAAGTAGCTAAGTTTTTGATACATAAAACATAATTCTGTGATTCAAAGACCTTGCTAACCAGTTTGTGAAAGAGTAGGAGAGTTGCAGGACAGTGGGGTGGAAGAATATTTCAAAAACCTCTTTGTACATAAAAAAAAACAAAGGAAGAGTTTAAAACTATAGCTTGCTGGGTTCTGCCTTTCAAAACTGATTTGACTGAGAATGGGAGGCTCAGAATGTCAGTTTTAAAGGCTTCCTGAGGGGCGCCTGGGTGGCTCAGTTGGTTAAGTGTCTGTCTTCAGCTCAAGTCATGATCCCAGGGTCCTGGAATCGAGCTCCACAGGGGAGCCTGGTTCTCCCCCTGCCTGCCTCCCCCCCGCTTGTGCTCTCTTTCTCTGACAAATAAAATCTTTAAATAAATAAAAGCTTCACAAGTCCCTCTGATGTGCTATCAGTTTGGAAAACCACTGGGAAATTTAGGAGATGAGGTAAAAGGTACACCTATTTCAAAACAATGAGTAGTAATTGTAGCTATTGTTTCTTTAAAGAGAGATAAATCTGATGATAGCAAAAACATTCACTTCTAGGGTATGTTCCTAGGGGAAGGAGTGAGCTTGGGGCATAACCATCTGCTTTTCCCAGGGTTGCAGAGGGTGATGAAAGCTACATAGAGCAAAAAGGAGGGAGAGCCTAGCCCTTCAGCTGACCTTCTGCCTCTTACCAGGTTGTTGTCAGAGTCAGTAGTTACCTTGTTTTGTTTTTTAAATGTGACAGACTATTTCAGACACGCTGAATCTTAATAGTTTGGTGGATTTCAAAAGTCTTTTTTTTTTTTTTTTAAGATTTTATCTATTTGACAGAGCACAAGCAGGCAGAGCGGCAGGCAGAGGGAGAAGCAGGCTTCCCACTGAGCAGGGAACCCAATGCAGGACTCGATCCCAGGACCCTCGGATCATGACCTGAGTCGAAGGCAGACGCTTAACTGACTGAGCCACCCAGGCACCTCTAACAGCCTTGTTTTATGAGATTAATACTATATGAGAATCTTTAATCATGGCTTTGGGGAGAATAACCCTCTTGTATTTTAGGTTGATTTGATTGAGGGAAATCAGGTAAAATTTCTATTTATATATTTCTTTGACTGAAGACAAGCAGGGGGAGTGGCAGAGGGAGAAGCAGGCTCCCCACCGAGCAGGGAGCCTGATGTGGGGCTTGATCCCAGGACCCAGAATCATGACCCAAGCTGAAGGCAGATGCTTAACTGACCAAGCCAACTAGGCGCCCCTAAAAAAAATTTTTTTTTTAAGATTTTATCCATTTATTTTAGAAAGAGAGCAGTGGGGAGAGGTAGAGTGAGAGGGAGAAAGAGTCCCAAGCAGACTCCGTGCTGACTGTGGAGCCTGACCAGGGGCTCAGTCCCATGACCCCAGGATCACAACCTGAGCCAAAACCAAGAGTTGGCCACTTAACTGACTGCACCACACAGGCACCCCGGAAATCAAGTAAATTTTAACGGGTCTGTAATGTTTTGGTTGCTTACAAAGATTGCTGCCATTGCAGAATTTCCAGGT